CTCCCAGCTCTGACATTCCAGGTTCTCAGCTCCCTCCCAGCTCTGACTTTCTTTGAGGCTGTTTCTGAGACTGAAAGAGAAATTAAACACTTAGCCTCCCCACACCTGGGGTCTTCACTGTCCCATTTGCTGTATCCTGGCTCAGTTCTTGTTTTCCCTTTCTCTGCCACCTTCAGAGAAGCTCGCGTCTGTCACATTGGAGGTTGAAGAGATCGCTTTGACCGCCAGCAACCAGAAGCGGAAGCTGGCTATTGTGTTGGAGGCACTGCACCAGCGTTTGCAGCTAGAGGAGAGCTCGGCCAAATGGAATGTGGAGAGTAGGTATCACTCAGCTCTGTGTGAGACATTGCTCAGCAACAACACAGTGTGATGGAGCCTCTAGTCAGAACCTGCTTATAAAGTCAGGTGGTACTTCTGAAGCCAAGTCCTCTGTCCAGAACCCAGCCTGGAACTGGGAGGAAGGAGGACAGGTCCCTGAGCTATTGAAGTAACAACACCTATAATACTGTGACTACTCAAAGTTCCTTTTTTTTTTTTAAGCTAGATTTGGGATTTCATTGGTGGTGAGAATTCCTGATGAGGAAACTCCTTGTCTGTAGCTCATGGACTTAGAGTTGCCTGAGATGATAAAAGATCAAGTGATTTGTCTAGGATCCCATCAGAGTAGATTCCTCCAAGTTCCTATTTCTTAAACATTTTCACAAAGTGCCTTCCTTACAGCGGCCTCAAAGAGACAGAGAGGGCAGGCATGGACTTTTCTCCTCCTTGTACTAGGCGTGGAGGGGCCTGCCCTGTGCCCTGATCTCCCACCCTCTGTCAGTGGGACTGGCCCTTATTTAGTAAAGTTGATTCAACAATCTGTTTCTTGCCTTAGGAGTGGTTTGCACTGTTCCAGGCACGACAAATTCTATTGATGGCTCTGCCTCTAGAGGGGAGTCACATGAGTCAAGACTCCAGCTCTGACACTGACTCGCTGTGTGACTCCTTTTCCCTCTCTGAGCCCTTGGTCTCTTCCTCTGTAAAAAGGACCCTCTTGTTTTTAGCCTAGGTGATAGCTAAGGTCCTTTCCAGCTCCACATCTCACGACCTTCCCACTTGACACTCTCACTGCTGAGAGCTGGGAAGGACCTGGGAGGTCAGCTAGCACAATACATCCACCACTGCAGAATCCCTTCTCCATCATCCCTGACCAGGGATCCTCTAGACTTCTCTTGAAGAACTCAGTTAAAGAGGAAGAAGAAGAGGTGCGTGGGGATAGCTCTAAGGGTTAGCAAGTTAGATGGAGCCCAAATCTGCCTGGTAGTAGCTCTTGGCCCCACCCCCCACTCCCTGGGCCAAGCCTCTGGTCCCCACAGGAGCTCTTGAAGATAACTCTGATATTTCCTACCTCCCTGCCCCCAATGCCTAGTCTTTTTTTTCTCTATGCTAAACATTCTTACTTTATTACTAAAAAAAAAAAAAAGCAAGCAGATTTGTATAAATTTTTAAAGATTTTTTTTTCAATCAACAAGCATTTATTTTCTCTTTCTCCTACCTTCCTTTCCACATTGGAAAACAAACAAACTAAACCTTGTAGCAAATATGCATAATCAGACAGAATAAATTCCCTCCTTGGCCTCCTTCAGAAACAGATGTCTCTTTCTGCATCTTAATTGATACTTGTACGGCATGGACTTGAGGCCCATCACCATCCTGGTCTCTTTCCTCTGGATGGTCTTCAGTGCATCATGGTCCTTCCTTAACTCCTGTGCCAAGGACAGAACACAGTCCTCCAGGTGTGGGCTTCCCAGAACATAGTGCAGGGGGACCTATCACCTCCTATACGGGAGACACTCTACCTCTCTTAATTCATCCTAAGGTTGCATTATGGCTTTTATGGAGGTCATGCTATTTCGTTGACTCACACTGAACTTGTGGGCCACTAAAACCCCCAGCCTTTCTTTTTCTTGCTACCTCCCAGTTGTTCTTCATATGGACCCCCACCTGGCCCTGCCCCCTCTACCCCATACTTAATTTAATTCTGTTTGATTTCAACAGGCATCTTCAATAAGGACTTGTTGTCCACTCTTCATCTTCTGGTGGCCATGGCCAAGCACTTCCAACCTGACCTGCCCCTCCCTGCAAATGTCCAAGTGGAAGTAATAACCATTGAGGTAACTGGATGCTTGTGGAGACCAGGAAGGTCGTCTCTGCCCTTCTCACAACCTCACCTGACCATCTGCATGGGTGGGTGTGTTGGCGTGTGCTCAGATTTGCAGGGACCTATCCACCATTCCAGTCGCCAGGACCATTAGTCCAAGCCTCACTTCCTCAAAGAAGGCTTCCATGATTACTCTGGACCACAGTGATCTCTCTCTTTGTCTCCTACATTCCTCTCACATTATTGTCAGGGTGGAACAGTGGCAAAAGAACAGGATTTGGAACCAGAAGCCGGGTTCAAATCCCAGCTCTTCCGCCTGGGTCACCTCAGGCAAGTTACTTTCCCTCTCTAGACCTCAGTTTCCTCATGTGTAAAAAGAGGGAGTTGAACTAGATGACTCTTAAGGTCGGCTCTAGCTCCATGATCTTCTCTGGGCCTCGGTTTCTTCTTCTGTAAAAGGAGATTAGAATAGGTAATCTCTAAGGCCTTTCCTTGAGGCAGCAAGGTGGCACAGTGGATAGTCAGGACAACTTGAGTTCAAATCCAGCCCGACCCTGTTTGCCTCAGTTTCTTCATCTATAAAATGAGCTGGAGAAGGAAAAAGCAAACCACTCTAGTATCTCTGCCAAGCAAACCCCAAAAGGGGTCATGAAGAGTCAGACACGACTGAAACAACTGAACAACCGCAACAGCAAGGCCTTTCCAGCTCTAGATTGACCATCCAGGGCCTGGCCTCCTCACCTGACCCTTAGCGCACAACGCCCTGTGAGGGTCATCGTCAAACATGTGCATGGAGGTGCAGTGCATAGAGCAGTGAACCGGGAGTCAGGAAGGCCTGGGCTCAAATGTTGCTTCAGACCCACACTAGCACTGCGACCCTGGGTAAGCCACTTGATCTCAGAGACTTAATTTCCTTATCTACAAAATGGAGACAATAAGAGCTTCTCCCTTATAAGGTTGTCATGAGCTGTGACGCAAAACAATTCATCAACAAGCATTTATTAGGTGCCAGGCAGCGTGCTATGTGCTGGGAAGACAAAGGCAGCAGTGGGGCTGCCCTCCGGGAGTTTACCTTCCACAGAAAGGGACAGTCTGTAACGAGGGAATGGTTGTAAGGTGCTTTGAAGCCTTGGAATGCTGGAGATGGGGGCGGCTGGTGCTGTTATGACTCAAGTTCTCTTACTCTGTGCTTGGTGCTGATGAAGCAATGATGAGAAAGGGTACCTTGCCTGCCCTCAATGAGCTTACATTCCATTAGAGGGAATGTGATGTGCCCAGGACAGTCCAGGAAGGGTCCAACATGGGAGGGGCAAAGCAGAAATCCATGACAAGAGAGCTCTTCTAATGGGGGGCAGGGGAGAAAATCACAGATGGCTCCATGGAGGAGGAGAAGGAAGAGGAAGGACATGAGGAATCTTTGAGGCATGGGAGCAGCCTGTATGAATGCTTGGAGGCTGGAGACAGCAGGTTAAGATTGGGGAACAGCCAGCTAGCTGGACTGGAATGTAGTGTGTGGGAAGGGGGGTAACCTGAAGAAAGACCGTAAAGGAGCTTTCATTCCCCTTGACGATGGCCCTGGCTGACTGGTTGGGGGATTTCTACTTTATCCCGGAAGCCAAGGAAGGATTTTGAGCAGGGAGTTAACATGGCCAGACCAGACCTCAGAAGATGAAGCAGGACCAGATGGCCTTTGAGGTCTCTTTCAGCCCTCACTGCTCATGAGCTTGTGGGACCATCTGTCATGTTGGTCTGAGTATCGTGGTTGTTGTGGTTTGTCCTTCGTTCTCAAAGAGGACCATGATGTCAGGAAGATGATGCCGTGACTTGTAAGTGAATTGGATTGAAGTGCAGGGAAGGCTGTGCAAAGTCACCTGCCTCACTTTCTCCTCTGGAGCCATCTAGGTCCAGTGGCCAGATGTGGATCGAGATGCCTGGAGATGGTCTAGCAGTCTGAGTGTAAGCTGCTCTTGGATATGAGCCATACCCCTTAAATTAGATCTCTGTGGAAGAACTGGAAGGTATCTCAGAGAGCAATGCCCCCGTTTGGGAAACTGAGGCTCAGAGATGACGTGACTCGCCTACAGTCACACAGAACTTGGCAGAGCTGGGATTTGAGCATTTGCTTCTGGATTGAAGTCCACATCTCTTTGCACAGCATCCCTCGGTTGCACAGATGGTGAGCTGCATGGCGGTGCTTGTACGCAGGTTGTGTACAAGCCAGGTTCAATGGGAAAATGGGAAATGGGTATTTTCAGACCAGTGAGACCCCAAGGCTTTGATGCTTTCCTCCTGAGTGGAGCTCTGGGCACTCACCGCCATCTCTTCCCTTCTTTGCCTGCTAGAGCACCAAGAACGGCTTAAAGTCTGGGAAGGCTGTGGAGCAGATCACTGACTGCAAGTAAGCAAGGGGGAGAGGAGGCACTGGCTGGGACATGGGGGTGGTCTGGCAAAGGAGACTGAGAAAGGAATGCCAGACAGGTGGAGAGAGGATGTCAACAGAGCCCGGTCAAGCATAACAGAGGAGAAAGCAGAGAGGGAAAGGGGCTGATCAATGATGCCATGTGTTGAGGAGAAGTCAAGAAGGAGGAGGATTGGTAAGGATGAGGCCACTGGATTTAGCAATAAAGGAACATTGGTGATCTTGGAGAGAACAGTTTCAGTTGAGTGGTGGGGATAGAAAATAAATTTCCAGGCTTGAAAAGTGAGTGGGCTCCTTCTAGCTCTGACCTTCCCTATTGTAAGCTCCCCCCCAATCCTGACATTCCCTGTTCTAAGCTC